ACTTGAGTGAAATGAGTACATAAAAATTGAAAATACAAGAAAAAAGAGAACAAACATAATAACAAAATAAGATAAAAAGGTAAAGTTAAAAACCCAGCCCTAAGTGCAAATCTTGAACCCTCCCGAGACAAAGTTAAGTTCTAATAAGTCGTCGGAGCTCCGCACGAGATTGAGATCTCGTTCTCATGTGATGCGATCGTTGATGCCTTTTCCTATACATTTTCATTTGAGTGTTGAGATTCTGTGTAGGCAAACAATTTGCGCTCGTGAGAAGGCTAGGTGAGCCTTTTTGCAAATGTCCTCATTCGCATATGAATTCCATAGGTCCTCAAGCGCTGAAATCGGAGTTCTTTAATTAAATAAAAAATTAAAACAAAATTACTAGATAAGAATTTACAAGTACTTATGTTTGCTTTAATTGATAAATGATACGGCCAACGATTAGAAGAGTGATTCCTACGATGAAACATATAATTATACGTATATAGCAGTACATTTCATCTTCAGCTAATGCATCAGATCGACCAGATGTAGCTAAGTAATTAGCGAATTAATTGACTGCATGCATTTAATTTACTTTTATTTATAGTTTCACGGAGTACTTAGCAGCCTATTAATTTACAACGCCAACTCAAGTGCGTCACGGCGTCGGTCAAAGTGCGTGTCTTTTTCAATAATAGTAGTACTAGTACAATTTATCAAACCGGATCCCCAAAACGCTGCATTGCATGTTTATGACCGGCATCACTTGTTCTAACGAAAAAGTTGTTCTGTTTTCATCCACTTTAATTACTTTTACTTTCAAAAAAAATTACTTTTACTAATCTTGTTAAATACGGAGTATAATGGTCAGACTATACAACGAATAATTGAATATTACTACCTCCCTTTCCCTTTAACTATTGAGTGATGAACTTATTAATGGGTATTTCTTGATGTACAAAGTATTGCACCACAAGAATACTTTTAACTTCATTAAAGTTTTTGTTTTAACGGCAACGTGTTATTCATCCTTACCGCAAGTACGTGTTTTCCCCTTCAATTCGTTAGTAGACGAAGACTTCCCCTTTCAATTTCTTTAGTGGTTTTTTGAAAGGCTTTAATTTAGAGCTGAGTTATTCTTTAATATTTTTCTCAAGATTTAATTTTATTCATTTCATTTAATTCCTTCTTGCCACGTCCACTGCCCTTCCACATCTTCTTCTTCGCCCTAGCTTGGGATGGGCAAAAATACCGAAAAATCGGTATACCGCACGTATCGTACCAGAAAATACCGGAAAATACCGAAATATGAATTGGTATATCGTCATTTTCGGTATGATATCATACCGTACCGATTTATTTCGGTACGGTAACGGTAAATGTTTTCAAATACCACGATATACCGGTCTAATACCGTACGGACTCCCTACCCAACAATTACTTTTAATTCTAAAATATTGTAAAAATCCATTACAATTTTGAAACCTAAAATTAATACTTAGGTTGGTTACAAGTACCAACATAAAAAAAATAAAGACCCAATTTTCAAAACACACTATCACCATATAGGCTTCTCCTCAGTGACATTCAAACAAACTAACCATAATGACTAATGAGTACTGTACTAATATCCAGAAACAAGTTCATCTTGTTCCAAGAGCTTGTGAGTCGCGATCGAAAAGCCACTGAGTAGCGACGAGTGAAGAGGGATACACTTATGTTAGGTCCCCTGACCTAGATTATTTTGATGATTTATATGTTTATTGTTTTGATGATGTCACCCCTTTTTATTATCCATGTATTAGACTAGTATCTATTGTACTTGTTTTACTCATGTTTATTGTAATATGCTATTGTAAGGAATAAATTGTATTTAGATTTTGATGATGATAGACTAATTAGGATATTAAATTGCATTAAATGGTCATTTAATGAGCTTCACACGTTGAAATATTTAAAGTTTCACACGTTGGTGTCTTTAAATTTGAGATTTTTACACTTTGTACATGGACATCTGATTTTATCACCATTCATATGATTCAGGTGTTCAAGTGCAAATGTAATAAACATCCCAATTCCATCAAGAAATTTTGCTCGCATTCCGTACAATTCCGCATGTTTATCATACATCCAACTTCTATTTTGTCTATACATTATGTCTGAATTTTATAATCAAAAAATTATATTGGTTAAAAACTATAAATTATAAACATTAACGATAATTTGTTATGTTTAATATATTCACTACTTCATATTTAGGAACATTAATATATTAAATTTCACTAAATTTCACTAAAATTAACTAACGTTCAATTAATATTAGTAATTAACTCAAAGCAATACGTTAATGGCGTTAATCATTTCAATTAATTAACTAACTTTTGAATCATAACTAATTATTATTTAGGAACATCAATTCACAATAATAATTCACACTAAAGTAATTTTTAAATCCTAACGTACTTATATCATTATAAATCCTAAATTAGACATTAATGATAATTGCTAAAATATAGTATATATTTCTAAACGAATTTCAAATAAACATTTTAATTAACTAAAAATGTGAAAAGCATTTTAATTGAATTACTATTATTATTACTTAAAACTCTAATAGGTTTTTGACTAAAAGGCATATATAAACAATCCTAATAATTTTATAAACCCATTTCAATTAAATAATATTTCAATTTAACTAATATTATCAATTCAAATCCTAAATTAATGGTATTACCAATAATTGAAAAATTAATATACATTTCCAAAAGAATTTCAAATATATGCACAATAAATTATGATATCACTACGTTTATAGTTAAATATATTGTTTTTTTCGTATAGTTAAATATATTGTTAATTAATTAACAAACTCACTAACAATTTTTATTATTTAGAACGAAAAAAATTAATATTTAGCATTAAAAAATTAAAGATACATAATTCAAATGACATATCTTATCTGCATAGACAGGAAAAATGACATAAGATAGATTACGTCCTTCAATCTTTTAACAGATCTTGTATTATACTCTCATTGAGTTTGAATTGGTATGAATATGTCGAATGAATCTGATCTTGCATATATAAAACAATATGTCACGGATTTTGTCACAAATTTTGTCACGGATCCATCCGTGACAAATGCCCGGAATAAAAAAATACGCCAGAATCATTTTTCGGTCGCCGGAACCCGTTTGTCACGGATATAATCCGTGACAAAAAAATTTCATGACTTGTCAGACATATCTGATACACTTGTAATTTCCGTGTGTATGTTTACGTTTTTAGCTAGTTTTGGTTGTTTAGTATTTCGGAAATTACACACTTTTGGTGTAATAGTTTAGTTTGTTGAATTCTTGTAATTTGTTTAGATTAGGGTCATTCTGAGCTCAAACAGGTCTACCATCACTCAAAGGACAGTTGGTGAACCCTAAAAGTGGAAGGAAGGTGCAAAATCACAAGACAAAAGGGAAAATCCTGATTTTGGTCTATACTCGGTTGAGTATTACCTATACTCGATCGAGTATAAGGTTGAAACTTCAAATCGGATCGGATCCGAAGACAAAGGAACATGCCGGGAAGATTTTGGCCACGATTTAGTGTCTATACTCAATCGGGTAGACCGACATACCCGATCGAGTATGCCTTTGAGTTTAAACCCGAAATCGGTCGAGTATGGCTCGAATATCACTTTCTGCACATACTCGACCGAGTATGAACATATACTCGATCGAGTATACCTCGAATCTGGTATTTCTACACATACTCGATCGAGTATCTGTATATACTCGATCGAGTACCCGAGCTGCACTCCCAAAAAACCTATAAATACACCCCCTTTCCTTCACAACAAAAAAACCAATTCCTATATACTCTTAAGCTCAGTTTAGAATAGCATTTATCTATATTTCTTTTAGCATGTTTAGTCTCCAAATGAGGAGCTAAACTTCCATATCTTGGTTTTGCTACTTTGAAGCTTAATGATTTGTAAGTTGTGAGTTATTTTCTTTAATCTTCTTCCTTGAATATTAATTACTTCCTATTCATATTCCATATTAATATATTGAGCATTACTTAAAGTATCAACTAGTCTTGTTCTATATATTAATTATTACTAGAATCAATCGGTTAATACGCTTGTTATTAATTCGGTTCTTTCACGGTAGTAAACTTGGGTTGTTAATGCATGCTTCTCATGGTTAATAAGCCAAGGGGAATTAATTATATTGATTGAACCAATAAACCGCTTGTGTTGAGGTTATCAATCTCAATCGTTTTCATCTTGATTTTATTGCTACTATCAAGTTAATATACGACGCTTGTTCTATATTGACTCGGTAGTAAGTTTTATTAATGAACGCTTCTCGTTATTAATAACTACCCTCGATGAACTGGATATACTCCTCGATTGAGTATTCGAGAGGAAGATAGTTAAAGATATAACCGGGATCGACGAACATTTCATTAAGTAGATAAAAGCAAAGCCAAGTCTCCTTCTTATTAATTAAACCACATAACTCGTTCATCTTCATGTTTAAATATAATTTAAAGTTCATTTACTCAACCTAAACCCCCCCTTGTTACTAGTTTACAAAGAGAGAAGTATTCCTTTCCCTGTGGATACGAACCTTACTTCATTATACTACGTATAATTGTTTTATTGAATTATTATTTTGAGTGCACACCACGACAAAGTGCACGTCAATATCCGTGACAAAGGCCGTGACAAACTTGTCACGGACGGAATCCGTGACAAAAATCCGTGACAAACAGTCTGTTTTTTTTGCCGTGTAAATTTCCCTTTTTTTAATTGGATAAAAGTAGTGAAAATGCACATTATTTTAAATAAGAGTATTTTTATCATTCAACACTTTAATATAAACGAAATTTTTTTCTTATACGAATGTTTAAAAACATAGCTAGTGGGAAACTCAAAATCTTTAATCGTTTCCGTATTAACATAAACATCGAACTAACCACATATTAACTCCTGCCTGGAAAAAGAATAATAATAGCATCTACAGAAGACATAGTGACATACTCCATATTATGTTGCCCAGAACTTTATTAATACAACCTATAGAATTATAAAATTATGACAAATGTAAGCATTCCAAATATAAGTGCAAAAATTGGTCGAGACGACCCTGCCCTTAAATGCAAAATAAATCAACAATAAGAATAATTAGAACATAAAATAAATCCGAAAGCTAGTGTATAACTTCATAGTTCCGATCCGGCCACCGTTGATCGATTATTATACACGTACTCCTCTAGAATAAGTATATATGTCTAATCCCCTCACATCCTCAAACACACCTCTGGACTCCTCCATACCTACAAATACAATACGCAATAACAAAAAAGTTAAGAGAGAATTGCCCAAATGGACTAAAACTCAGTAGATTTGCATAAATAGGACATTAAGTTTATTATTTCCCTAAATAGGACTCTTAATTACTGATCAGACAAAATTGCCCTTAATGAAGTTCCAGGTCCTAATCGGCCAGGAACTAACGCACTACATCAAACTATACGCTGCCTTCACCAACCACCGCCAAGCTCCTACATCAATCTTCAGTGAATTTGACGTCACTTTCCTCCGACAAGCCGACACCATCCTCTGACGAACCGCCGGGACCGCCAGAGCTGCCGGAGCAGCCACCACCCTCTGGATGGTCTCTTGTTGATCTCCGGGGAGAATGTCATATCGATAAGTATAATGACATATTAATGACATTTTTATGTAGGAATATGACATTTTCATTTATGAAAACATGTACTTCTAAGATGAAACGTAAATGCAATTTCAGGTCAAAGATTCTGGCATTTTTGTTAGAAATTATGTCAATATCATATTAAAATTGAAAATATAAAATTTGAGAATAAATAAAAATGAAAAATCAGAAATAAAATTGCCATCTTTATACATTCAGTGCTATAAATTAAAAATGACATATTTTGGCAATCTTTAATTCTTTATACATTCAGTGTTATAAAAATGACATATTTTGGCAAAAAGTTCAAAAACATGTCATTCTAATTATTGTACTTTCAATTTAAAATTGCCATCTTGATATAATGTAATATAATTTGGCAAAAAGTTCAAAAACATGTCATTTTAATTACTGTACTTTCAAATTAAAATTGCTATCTTGACATAAAGTATTGTCATAAAAGTGGCATTTTGTACAATTTTTTTGGCATTCTCTTAAACAAAAATTAATCAGATTTAAAAATTAATAAAATATCAGGTCTAAATTTTTCCGATCATTGGTGCTTCATCTAAACATCGCTTTTCAACAAAAATTTTCAGATCCACAATAGTATTTTGATTTTTAATACAAAACAAAAAATTGAAAATCCTAGAGTAGAGAAAATCTAGAAGAAGATGATTGGGAAGAATAGAAGAAGGGAGAAGAGAGAACGGAGAAGGGAGAAGAAGATGAATCAATTACCTGATATGGAAAATCGATGAAGAGAGGCGATAAGAAATCGACAAAGAAAGGCAATGAGAAATCGGAGAAGAGAGGCGGCAGCAATGGAAATCCATATAGCTAGGCGAGGTGGTGGGGCTGGAGAGGCGAGGCGGCAGGGCTGGCCGGAGTGGCGAGGCGGCGGGGCTGGCCAGAGAGGCGAGGCGGCGCGTGAGAAGCGATCAAAGATGGTGGATGATAGTAGCGAAGAACTCGTACGGGAGAGATATCGGTCGCTGCTCTTCAGATTTCAATAGGCGGTGATAGATTGGGGCTTTTATTATATTAAGGGCAAAATGGTAATGTTTAGTCCTATTTAGGTAAAATAAAACATTAACTCCTATTGTGGAATTTTAACTATGTTTTGATCCTATTTAGGACAATTTCTTAAAAGTTAAATTAGAAAAAACGATCAATACAATAGGAACATGTACATATTAAATAGGTGACAACTCCGGTACCCATTTAAAAAATGGGGGTAACGTACCTACCATGCATTTGATTGGTCCAAATCATTAAATCCCTTTTAATTTACATTTAAATAATTCAACTGCATGATTCTGGTTGGTCCATGTGGACAAAGGTACGGTACCTTATGGGTACCATAGAATCTAGGCTTTTAGGTTTTACACGGATAAGTTTTTCCTCTGCGTAATCATTAAAGGTTGGCATGGTGCCCAGCTAATTGTGTAAAAATTATTTACGTATAAACTACCTTGGTCCTGAAAAGGTTTACGACTTTTTTTTTATCATGAAAAACGTTGAACACTGATTTTAATTACTACTCCGTACTATTTTTGTATATAATTTATAAACTTCATACTTTTATGAAAATATTTTGAAAATGAACATTTTGACATACTTCTTTCATATTCATAATAATTTTTACTAAAAAATACTCTCTCCGTTCCCAAAAATACTTTACACTTTCCTTTTTGGGTCGTTCCCAAAAATTCTTCCCACTTTCCCACATTTTGACAATTTGTGTGGCTCACATTCATTTTACCTTTTTCTCACACAACCACAACTATAGATTTCTATTTTATTCCACTTTCTTAATAGGCGTGCCAAGTCAAACAGGGAAGAATTTTTAGGAATGGAGGTAGTTTCATTGAAGGAAGTATATGAAATGCAGAAATCCTAGCTAGGTGATTACTGATTAGGATTAATTATCACTTGGTAAGTGGTTCGTGAATTGGGTGGCGTGCCACTCATATCTTAGCTACGGTGGGAAGGGATGAAGGTTTGAAACTAGAGTCGAATGTAATGTAATTGTCATTGTAGTTATACAAACCTAGTGATATAGCAAGATTTGTACACTACGTGACACTGGTTGGGGAGATGAAAAGCCTGCACCTGGGAAGAGTCGTAGGGCAAGCTGCAAGTCACCTGAAGCTGCCCATCATTGGTTTCGTAACCATCATACCGAAGAGAAGCTGTGATCTTTAAGACAACGGTGGAGCCGCCGTCGCCACGGGCCATGTCCGGTGCAAGAAAGGTGAGGGTGAGGTTATTCGCGGCACCGGGAGGCTGCAAAAACGCCGCAAATGTGGCGTTTGCAACCAGCTCCTGCGCGGCGGCGCCAAAGTAGAGTGATGCTTGGGAGGTGCCGTAGTCATTGGTGTATTTTCTTTTGTTTCGGTTGCGGGTGTTGAGGATGAAGGTCACGTTACCGCCGATGGTGAAACGGCTGCTGCCATTAGTGGTTGCTAAGGGCACGTCCACTACGGAGTAGGCCGGAGCTTTAGGATGGGGGTGCGTATAGACATATATGAAACCGACGCAGAAGGTTGCAAGAATCATGCATAAAATACACTTCATAAACCAGCCCACTATACGGGCATTTCTCCTATCTTTTTCCATGGCAGAGATCATACGATCAATATTCATCTTCGCCGGTAGTACGTAGAATATACGAAGTAGTTATTAGTGCAGATCAGAGGTAGGTAACGAATACTCCGTATTACATTGCATATATAGCTAGCGCTACCTCTTACTCCGTATTTAATTTACAACGCCAACCCATTCAAATACGTCACGACGTCACTCATACTGCATGTCTTTTTCAATGATCAAAGATTCAAAGTGGAACCCAAAATGAAAAAGTCACGGGGAACCCAAAGATTCAAATTTTGGACTTTCAAAATTTTGTAGTATATATGTAATATTTTCAGAAAACTTTCATACGTTTATTAGATATATTTGTGTTCGCCCCTCTTAACTTTTAGTTTTCAAAATGAGTACATATCTTTAATTTACATGCATAATGTAATACTTAATTAAAGATTTAAAAGAAAAAATGTATAAAATAATTTACATAACTTAAACAAATGAACAAAGAACAACTCGTTATTTAAGGACCTAGGATACTCATTATATAAAAATTCCCAATTTTGTAATGTTTAATTATCTTTATGAGATAACTAGTACTCGATTTTGTAAAATATCAAACAATATTAAATACAAAACATACTAGTTTAACGTATAAGTTTTTGATCACGTGAAGTGAATTCAAAATATAAATGTTTTTTGACATTAAATTACACAATGCATTTACTTCTTATTACTTTCTAAAAACAATTTATTGAATAGATAATAAGATTTACCTTATTTTAGCATTAATACAAATATAATATATATGTACCATATATATGAATTAGCAATATAATATTATTCTAAAAATAATAATCTTACACATACTATTGTAATACTAAGACATCGGAACTCACAAACACCCTCCTTAGTAGACAAAAAATACAATTCCAAAACCAATTCTTTATTCCGATAAGAATCATGTGGCTAAACAACGCAATAGTTATTTAAAAAGTATTTTTTGATGTGTAACTCTTAAACTCTTTCCCTTAAAGTAATTTGATAAAATTTTATATATCCATTTTTAATTTCCAAATAATTTTCTTTTGATTTGTCATTTCTTACGCTTTAATGTATTAATACTTTTTTCTAGAGTACTTCAGTTACAAAATCAAAGTTATTATTTCATTGTCTAAACTTAAAATCTTATAAATTTAAATGTCATCGTGTATGTACTAATGAATATTTTTTTGAATAATAATTAGTCGTAGAGACCTAGTGAAGCGGGGGGAAAAATCGCCCTGCTACACTAGTGAAAAAAAATTCGTCGTGCAGCACTAGCGAAATTTTTTTCACTCCATACACTAATCAAAAAAATCTCGCCCCCCTTGATTCGAAATCCTGGATCCGTCCCTGATAGCAGTACATTTCATCTTCAGCTAATGCATCAGATCGACCAGATGTAGCTAAGTAATTAGTGAATTAATTAAGACTGCATGCATTTAATTTACTTTTATTTATAGTTTCACGGAGTACTTAGCAGCCTACTCCCTCCGTCCCATTTATATTGTCCTGTTTTACCTTTTCGAGAAATCCTACTTAAATTGTCTCCCCTTCTTCCGTCCCAATATAAATGGGACGGAGGTAGTATTAATTTACAACGCCAACTCAAGTGCGTCACGGCGTCGGTCATAGTGCGTGTCTTTTTCAATAATAGTAGTACTAGTACAATTTATCAAACCGGATCCCCAAAACGCTGCATTGCATGTTTATGACCGGCATCACTTGTTCTAACGAAAAAGTTGTTCTGTTTTCATCCACTTTCATTAGAGTTAATTATCAAAATAGGACTAAAAGTCATTTACTTTGCACAAATAGGACCAAAAAATAAATTATGTTTGCATAGGACTAATTATGTGTGTCTTGTACAAATATACTCTTATACCTATTGGAATGTTTTAATTCATAATAAAATAATAAAAAATAATAAAAATTCGTAAAATATACCAAAAAATTAATAAAAATATTTTGAATAATAATAATTTAAAAAAAAAATTAAAAAAAATAAAAAATTAAAAAATTTAAAAAAAAAAAACAAAAAAAAAATCAAAAAAAAAAATTTTTTTGTCACCGCCGCCTCTGCCGCCCTAGCACCACCACCTCTAGTCATTTGGGAAAAAAATGCCAAATTTATTATGAATTCCATATTTTTGGCATAATTCAGAATGATTTAAGATGGAAGAAAAAAAATGTTGGCATTCTCAAAGAGAAATATGCCATATTTTTGGCATTTTTTGAAAAAAATGGAAGTTTGTAGGAAATATGACATTTTTTTAACGGTCGGAGGTGGTGGTGGTCACCGGGGTAACAAAATGCCAAAAAAATTATGAATGCCATATTTTTGGCAAAAATCAAAAGGATTCAAGTTGGCAGAATGAAAATGTTGGCATTCTCATAGAGAAATATGCCATTTTTGTGGAATTTAAAAAAAAGTGGCATTTTTTACAACGATCGGAGGTGGTGGTTCAGGGAGGTAGTACAGGCGGTGGGAAAGGTATCCATATTTTTTTTATTTTTTTTATGGAGTTTTACTATTTTTTATTAATTTTCAAAAAAAATTAAAAAAAAAAATTCTTATTTTTTATTTTATAAAAATTTTATTAATTTTTTTATTATTTTTCTACGAATTATTGAAATTTTTTCGAATTTATTATGAATTAAACATTTAATTATGACTTTTAGCTATCTTTTACTAATATTTAAAGGAGGGATAAGAATGGAAGGAAGAAATGAGTATGTTTCCAATAGGACCACTATGGTCCTATTTTGGAATAAAAAACATAGCAAGTCCTATTTTGAATTTTTGCCATAGTTTTAGTCCTATTTGAAGTAATTTCTACTTTAATTACTTTTACTTTCAAGAAAAATTACTTTTCAAGAAAAATTACTTTTACTAATCTTGTTAAATACGGAGTATAATTGTCAGACTATACAACGAATAATTGAATATTACTACCTCCCTTCCCCTTTAACTATTGAGTGATGAACTTATTAATGTGTATTTCTTGATGTAAAAAGTATTGCACCACAAGAATACTTTTATGTACTTTTAACTTCATTAAAGTTTCCCCTTCTTTAGTAGACGAAGACTTCCCCTTTCAATTTCTTTAGTGGTTTTTTTTGAAAGGCTTTAATTTAGAGCTGAGTTATTCTTTAATATTTTTCTCAAGATTTAATTTTATTCATTTCATTTAATTCCTTCTTGCCACTGCCCTTCCACATCTTCTTCTTCGCCCTAGCTTGGGATGGGCAAAAATACCGAAAAATCGGTATACCGCACGTATCGTACCAGAAAATACCGGAAAATACCGAAATATGAATTGGTATATCGTCATTTTCGGTATGATATCATACCGTACCGATTTATTTCGGTACGGTAACGGTAAATGTTTTCAAATACCACGATATACCGGTCTAATACTGTACGGACTCCCTACCCAACAATTACTTTTAATTCTAAAATATTGTAAAAATCCATTACAATTTTGAAACCTAAAATTAATACTTAGGTTGGTTACAAGTACCAACATAAAAAAAATAAAGACCCAATTTTCAAAACACACTATCACCATATAGGCTTCTCCTCAGTGACATTCAAACAAACTAACCATAATGACTAATGAGTACTGTACTAATGTCCAGAAACAAGTCCATCTTGTTCCAAGAGCTTGTGAGTCGCGATCGAAAAGCCACTGAGTAGCGACGAGTGAAGAGGGATACACTTATGTTAGGTCCCCTGGCCTAGATTTTGATGATTTATATGTTTATTGTTTTGATGATGTCACCCCTTTTTATTATCCATGTATTAGACTAGTATCTATTGTACTTGTTTTACTCATGTTTATTGTAATATGCTATTTGATAGGCACTAGTTGTTAGTGCCTAAAGTGTACATTTTTATTATCGTTTGTAATATTTATTTACTAGTATTATGCAAGTTTGAAGTTGTTAGTTTGCATTTGATTGTAATCGTATTTTTAGCATTTTATTGTTTGTTGTAAGTTATAGTTAGTTGAGCTATAAGTTTAGGATAGGTTTGGAAGCAAGAAGGATGGAAAAACCTGAGTTTTATGCAAAACTCGGTCGGGTATGGACTTTACCCGGCCGGGTATGAAGTGACAAAGGGAGTTGCTACGAAATTAGCAAATACCCGGTCGGGTATTCCCTATACCCGGTCGGGTATGAAGTGATTTCGGGCAAATGAACGTGTAGAAGAACACCAGAACATGGGAAAAAGATTTGATTTGACAAATACCCGGTCGGGTATAGCAAATACCCGGCCGGGTATCCGGCATTAGGTGTTTAAAACACCTAATGCTAACCCCATTTTCCTTCACTTTTAATCATCCCTTCTTCCATACTCTTAAGCTCAGTTTAGAATAGTATTTCTTTTATATTTTAATAGCATGTTTAGTCTCCAAATGAGGAGCTAAACTCTTCCATCTTGGTTTTGCTACTTTGAAGCTTAATGAATTTGTAAGTTGTTTGTTATTCCCTTTAATCTTCTTCCTTGAATATTAATTCTTCCTTTAAATACTATTTCTATATCAATGTTGGGGAGTGTTACTAAGATGACAATTAGTTAACATCTTGACATTAGTTATAGTAATAGCTATTTCTTCCTCTATGTTAATATTGGGGAGTGTTACTAAGATGACAATTAGTTAACATCTTGATATTAACTATAGTAGGATTCATCTTCTTTAATATTCTTCCTTGAGTATTAATTAATTCCTATTCATATTTCATATTAATATTTTGAACATTACTTAAAGGATCAACTAGTTTTGTTCATATATTAATTATTATTAGAATCAATCGGTTAATACGCTTGTTATTAATTTGGTTCTTTCAATGGTAGTAAACTTGGGTTGTTAATGCATGCTTCTCATGGTTAATAAGCCAAGGGGAATTAATTATATTGATTAAACCAATAAACCGCTTGTGTTGAGGTTATCAATCTCAATCGTTTTTTTTTTTTGGATAACCTGTAAGTATATTAAAGGAGCCACCCAAGAAAACAGAGGTTCAGAATGTACAAGCAAAAAAGGAAACAAAACTGCAGGTTAACCAACATGGATAACCCCAACCTAGCAAAAGAACTCAAAACAAGCAACGCCCCACACCAAACAGAAGCGGTGGTGGAGCACA